AAAACAAATTCAAACCCTAAAGAGTTATCAACTCCATGAAAAAAAACTCTATACATCTGGCAAGCCATGGTCCATATCTAAAATGTATTGATCAGCAACAAAGAACTCATTAATGTTTGGGGCATCTGAAAATTGCTGCTCCTGCTTATGCATGTTCAAAGGAGCCTGGATGTTTGGGGCACCTGAAAATTGCTGCTGCTGCTGATCCATGTTCAAAGGATCATGGATGTTTGGGACACTTAAAAATTGCTGCTGCTGATGCTATCGCGTCAAAGGATCATGGATGTTTGGGGCACTTGAAATTGCTGCTGCTGATGATGCATTTCAAAGGATCATGGATGTTTGGGACACTTGAAAATTGCTGCTGCTGATGCATGTTCAAAGGATTATGGATGTTGGGCACTTGAAAATTGCTGCTGCTGATGCATGTTCAAAGGATTATGGATGCTTGGGGCACCAGAAAATAGCTGCTGCTGATGCATGTTCAAAGGATCATGGCCCACCGAATGTTGGAACTGAGGAGGAATTGTTGCTATTGGTGCAACTGTTGTTATAATATTACCATAAACAGGCACATCCTGCCAAGGAAATATTGCAGAGTGATATTCCCACATAGGATGTAAAGTTCAGGAAAACTTGTAAATCCAGAAGTTGAATCATCATATGGATGTTAAAGAGGCATTGAACAAGTTTGTTGTGCAGCAGCAAATTGAAATCCTGAAGTTGAACCTGTTCAGTTTGAGTGGAAGGATATTCCCATATCTGCTTCAGGATTTCAGTTGGAGCAGCGGGAATTTCAGTTTGAGGTGGAAGGATATCCATATTGCTGCTCCAGGATTTCAGCGTGGCTGCTGAATTTCAATTTGAAGTGGAAGGATTTCTCATTCATTAGTTAGCTCCAGGAGTGATTGTCAGTAGTATGCATGATCCGATAGTTGCACTAAGCCTGTTCATTGCATCTTGCCTTTTTGTTCTTATCGTACGCATGTCGAGTAGCTCCAGCTTTGGTTCGTTCCTATTATGAAGTCTGCACAACAACCCAATCATCAAGCCGCATATCATCTTTGCCACCTTTGTCTCGCCGGAGATTGCTTAAAACGAATTCATGCATTATCCAGTTGGTTTTCTCACCCTTGGGTGGTTTCCCGTAGTAGTAAACTAACGTCTTCTTGAACCCTACAATCGTTCCTTTAAACATGACTGGCGTATCTGATCCAGTGGCCTTCCAGAAACCATCACCAGCTGTTCGCCTTGGTTAGAACCATTGGCATATTTACGATCTCTGGTGTTAAAAAATACCATTCAGACACTTTTTTGGACGACGTATTATCAGCTTGTGTTAGATCATCAGGACTGTACTTGTAGAGCTCAACCTCCTTGATCCTATTGGGTGGCAATGGTTTGTTGCAGACTCTCCGCCGCAAATAATGAACAACAAGTTCATCATCCCGTGGCTTGAAGCAATAACCTGGGGGCAAAGAATCCAAGAAATCTTCGGCATTGATGAAAACAGGAAGGTTTGGAGTCGGTTTAGCTTCTTTCATGGCAGGACTCTTACAATGAAGAAAAAAAATAGAGGAATAGTTTTAATTTATCTCTAATTACCTCTATAATAATATATATACGTAATTATAATCATAATTTTTGTTGAAGTAGAAATAGTTTACAGCTGTGGTTCAATTCAACTAGCTTATAATCAGAGCCTCCTAATCCAGTTAGTATAAGAAGCCTAATACGACCCAGAGTAGGATGAACAATCGGAATCTTTTACTTGTTCTAAGTCTACAGTGCACAATTTTTTCACCAAATATTTATTTATTTATTTATTACCAAATTACGCATTGTTACTTTAAGTTTGTTGTCGCTAAGTAATATCAACTTTAAAATATTAAAAACTTTTTACGTAAATCAATATAATAATAAATTATTTGTATTTTTATTTTTATTTTTGCATAACATCTTGTAATTTTTTTTATTTTTTAATATCTCGGGAATTTTTTTCTTAATTAGCATGTGGATTTTGTTGTCATAAAAAATTAAATTGTTAATTTTATTTTAAAAAATTATAAAAATATTGTTAAATATTAATAATTTTATTAAATAAAAAATCAACATATTATTTTTTACCGAAACCGAAGTTATCTTACAAAATGATGTAAGTGGAATTTATCTTGCAATAATTATTGGATTAATTGTGTTGGGCTTAATGAATAACACAATAAATAAAATTAGTTGGAGATAAACTCTTTAGGTAAACAAAATTTGGGGGCAAAAATTTAGAAATTCAGAGTAGAAAAAACAGCATCAGAAACAGGTGGTGGAAGTATATAATAAACATTTTATTAAGACAAGAAGAAACAAAAATAGAAAGGAATGAAAGGCGTTCCCATCAAAGCTTCAACAGAAAAATGTGTTTCCAGACTTTATTGTGCCATTTTTGTCAACTGGATATTTTCAACATGCTGGCAAGTATGCCAGGGCTTTCCTCTAATGGAAAACTTGGCAACCCTAAACTCCACCATACTTTGCAAACATATAATGGCAATGACGTGATAGGGGCTGGCTGGCCTGATCCACCTGAGCTGGTGGAGGCTTGAGTTTGGCTTGTGGATTTGTGGTTGTAGCCATGGACTTTCCATCCTCCACAATTTAAGTCTCTCCCTCAAATGTGCTTCCAATATTGGGGCATGTCAACCCGAGGGTGCTTCTTAATTACTAGAACATGTCAACACCAAGAAACAGAAAAACCCAATCCATTTCTTGTGCCTCAGCCTCTCCATGGTTCCTGATTCTGTGAGGACAGAACCAGAACCTGGTTGAGGCAAACTTTGTAATGCGGGGATGCCCCGG